TGTGTGTGTGTGTGTGTGTGTGTGTGTGTGTGTGTGTGTGTGTGTGTGTGTGTAGTCAAAAGTTTAGACCCACCTTTTCGTTCAATGTTTTTCTTTTTTCATGCGTTGTGAATGAAAATTTTCAAAAAGAATTCTAAAGTCATCCAGACTATTAAGACTACATACTGTAAGGATTTTTGATTTATCATCATTCTAAAAGGTGACCTGTGGCCTATTATGGTCAAACGTTTTCTATTGCAGCAGAGAGTGAAGCAGCTGGGATGAGGATCAGTGCTTCCAAACCATGGTCTTGAGCTGGAAAAGGGTAGAGTTCTGCTTCCGAGTTGGGGAAGAGGTCCTGCCCCAAATGGAGTAGTTTCTCAGGATCTTGTTCACGAATGAGTGATGTGAGCGCTGTACCAATCTGTTGTGGTGAAGGGAGAGCTGAGCCAAAAGGTGAAGCTCTCGATTTACCTTTTGATCAGAGTAGAGCCGCTGCTCCTCCACGTCCAGAGGAGCCAGATGAGGTGGTTCATCTGGTTAGGATGTCTCCTGGACGCCTCCCTGGTGAGGTGTTCTGGACATGTCCCACTGGGAGGAGGCCCAGAGGAAGACCCAGGACACGCTGGAGGGACTATGTTTCTCAGCTGGCCTGGGAACACCTTGGGATTCCCCCAGAGGAGCTGGCCAAAATGGCTGGAGAGAGGGAAGTCTGGGTCTCTCTGCTTAGGCTGCTGCCCCTGCGACATGACCCCGGATAAGAGGAAGAAAATGGATGAATGGTTTTCTATTGCTAGTGACCAATGTGGGCCCAACTTCTGCATTTGTTTTGTGGCACCTGGTTTTCCCAGGTCTCCCATCCAAATACTAGATCCTGCTTAGCTTCTGAGATCAGGCGTGTTCAGAGGGGTATGGCCACATACTGTAAGGAACAATGTGGTTTCTACCAAGTCATTTAGCGCAGCTTTTAGACTGCATTTTTTTTTTTACAGGAAATGCAATTTGTTAAACAGAAACCTCCTCTCAGTTTTGTCTCAGGTATGGTGAACCTGTACTACCACACAGACCATAATGTGCAGAAGGACCCGGAGCTCCAAGCCTGGTTCAGAGACATTTCAGAAGAAGGTTTCACTGAGCTTCCAAACTTTGGTAAGTCTTCGATAAAATGTATTTTTACATTTAGCTTTAATACAGCAGTGTTTAAGTGTTATGAATTTAGATAAATGACACCTAGCCAGTTGCTTCCTGTTACAGATAATGAAGTCAAACTCCAACATCTACTTATTGTTAGTACCTGGTTCCACAAGAGAGGAGTCTGATACATGAAAGCCCTACTTTTAGAAACTCTAGGAACCACAAGTAAACCTGGTGCATTCTGTTAGGAAAATATAGAACAATAAGAACTTTAAATCCAGATTAAGCAGGTATTAATTAAAGGAAATGCCTCTGACAGTCTGGGCTGTGTGGTCTGTGTATTCCTGGCATTACAGGAAAAGTACAACATGCCATTACTCTGTTTTTTTATTGGATGCTTCAGGTCTGCCGAGTAAACTAAGTGACAGAGAAGAGCTGTCCACCCTGTTAGCTGTGGCCATCTTTACCAGCACAGCTCAGCACGCTGCAACCAACAACGGACAGGTGCTCAACACTAAATCACTTATTCCAAGCAGAAAGCTTCAGTCTTACAGCACCGCTCTACTAATCCAGTCTTCAACACTCAGTGGTTTTATTAATAATCATTATGAAGAACATGCAGATCTGCTGTCTCCACTGTTTCCAGCTACATTTGTGTTGCTTTCAGTTTGACTGGTGTGCCTGGGTCCCCAACACCCCCTGTACAATGAGACTCCCCCCGCCATCAGATAAAGATGCTGTCACCATGGAGATGATCATGACCACCCTCCCGGATGTCAGCCAGTCCTGTGTGCAGATGGCCATCACGTGGCATCTGGGACGAGCTCAACCAGACGCAGTGAGTCTTTGTCCACTGTTTTCTATGTCAGTCTCTAGTTTCAGTTTGACTTTGTCTCAGTGGAAACAGCGGAGGAGGAGCATATATACTGTATACATATGTGTGTGTGGGGGGGTGGGTTTCTGGTGACATTTGGGGGCAATTTTTGGACAAAATGCCTACCTTTGGGGACAACTGGTGCATTTGGCGACAAAATTCGAGTCCCCATTTGGTTTAAATGCCATTGGTGGGTTGGGGGTTCAGTTTAGGACCAAGGTGTGAATTGAGTTTAGGTTAATTTTAGGGTCAGGTAGGTACCTGTGAGGTTAGTTTAGGGTCAGGTAGGTACCTGTGAGGTTAGCCTTAGGGTTTGTGGTCAGGGTTAGGCTGTAGAAATGTAATGGAAGTCAATGGAATGTCCCCAATTAGATAGCTGTACAAACGTGTGTGTGTGTGTGTGTGTATGCATGCATGCGTGCATGCGTGTGTGCGTGCGCGTGTGTGTGTTCATTCATGCTTTTTTTACCTGATGGGGATGATTTTTCACCATTTTCCTGGTACACACAGCCTTGTGTGAACCTACTGTTCCTTATGAGGACAAAAGCCCAGTCTCCATTGGGGGAAATACCGTTGTTAGTTCAGAGGTTAGGTTTAGGACTAATGTGGCTCCCTGGTAGGACATTTTGCTTTCCCAGTCCTTTTTCTCCCCATCCCTCACTAAATCCCTCCACCCACTCCATCACAACACCACTCATGTAGGGCTTTGGGGTGCAGGTGCATTATTGAGGAGCAACACTGATTTTACAGCTCCATTTACTCATGGCGGCCTGGACCCAATTGTATTATACATCTTAGACACTCCATCATGTCCATCTCTTGTGATGGACTTGCGACCTGTCCAGGGTGTACCCCGCCCCTCACACTGTGACTGCTAGATATGGGCACCAGTGACCCCGAAAGGAAGAAGTGGGTATAGATGATGGATGGATGGATCTTAGACACTCACTAATAACATTCTCATGACACATACAGGGTCTTGTGGTGGGCACTCTCAATGGCATGCAGGGGGTGAGCTGGGCAGCAGTCTCACCACTGGTGCCTGTGCCCATTCCAATTTGTTGCATGTACACATTTAGGGCCGGTTTCCAATACAGGGATTAAGCCAAGTTCTAGATTAAATCACACTTTAAACCAGGATTTACTGAAACAACTTTCTTAGTTATGGATTACAGTAGTCCCAGTAATTAGAAGAGTCTGTGTACTGTAAATAATATAATTAAATCTTGCCTAAATCTGTTGGAGGGTCCTGTTGGTAACTTTTTCGAGTTATATTTTATTCACAACTGCAGTCCATGTGTTTCTTTTTTTATTTCTATGGTTGAATCATGATGTTTGTTCTCAATTATGGGATGTTTAGAAATAATTTCCCTCAAAAGTATATTCTCACTTTCACTGAAGTTTTTTGAACACTTTCTTTTTACTTTATCCATGCTTAGTCAGAAGTCAAACTCCTGTTCCATACACATAGACTGCTAAAATGTATAATAGGAAAGTTCCACCCCAGGTTTTCAGAGCAACCTCACCTTTGTACCATTAGCAGATTGTTAATCTAATTCAGTTTCCAACACATGATCTGTCTAATCCTTGATTACCTTAGTCAGAGACTCTGTAGTCTGGAACTAGTTCATCTGAAGTTAAACAATATCTCAGAAAGCAGTTGGATTAGTGTGGATTAAGTTAGACCAGATTAGTGTAGTCCTGGTTTTATTTAAGCCCTGAGTACGAAACCGGCCCTTAGGGTTTTGGGCAACAGTTAGGGTGGAACTGGCACTGTCTACGCCAGGGGTGTCCAACCTTTTTTGAACCAAGAGCTACTTTTGAAGTCAGCAGTTTGCCAAAAGCTACTTGTCCAGTCTCAGTGTACATACAGTATATATAGTATATATATATAAAAAACATAATATGGTCTCCCTACTCCTCACTTCTTTAAAGTAAATAAAACAGAACWTAATGTGTTGCTAGTTTTATTTAATTTAAAGTATTGTCAAACAAAACTGTCTACTTAACCATATATTTACCTACAAAAAAAAAAGAAAAGATAAAATCCTTATTTAACTCCTGACAGAGAAACAGAAAAGTGATGCTCGAACAAAAAGGATCAATTTTTTTACCACCTTCAATTAGTACTCACTGTAACGTGCGAGCTATGAGGGCTGAAAACCTGCCTAGTGAGAACCACAGAGTCAAATAACTTTGGAGCAGGGGAACTAAAACCCGGGGCTGAACTTCCAGGACCGGTTTCACCTGATCAGATGTGTTTCTTTTATTGCCTGGAACAGATCCATCAGGTGGGTTTCTGAATTTTATGCATTATTGCAGAAATATCGCCCACCAGCGGTTCAGGGGGCAGGCTGTTATAAAACCCGGTGCTGAGCTTCCAGGACCGGTTTCACCTGACCAAATCTGTTCCTTTCATTGCCTGGAAGTGATCCATCAGGTGGGTTTCTGAATTTTATGCATTTTTGCAGAAGTTTCTGACTAAATCCAGGCGGGAGAGCGGGTGCTGGACGCATGACCATGGTTCCACCTCACTGGATCTCTTCTTTTTATTCCCCTGCATCAGCACAAGCAGCCCTGTGATGGAAATCAGCCGTTTCACCCGCCGGAGCTTGCCTGACGACATTTGATCGCTTATATCTCTGCGTGGGAACATCCCAGGAACTTGCAACCACCTCCAGTTTGTAGTGGAGATCCAGAACCTTAAAATGAGCCTGCCCGGATCTAACGCTCAGAGCCGGCGCTAGAGGCTCCAGAGTAAATTGAGCACTACATCGCCTGCCAAAGCGCCTTTTTTGGCCGGTCATTGGTTAATAGCTCTGTGGGGGAACGTCCAAGGAACTTGCAACCACCTCCAGTTTGTAGAGGAGGACCGTAGCTTTCCAAAGTCACCTCACTTTCCTGGATCCGATGCTCAGAGCCCGCAGGAGAAGCAAACGAAAATTGAAATTTCTTCCCAAAAATGCACGTAAAATGCACTAAGTTGTGTATAATTTGCTTGTAGCTCCGTGGGGCAATGCCACAGAGAATCCATTCAAGTATCAGCTTGTAGCGCAGAACCAGAGCTTTAAAACCCGACCAGCCCCTCTGGGATCTGATGCCCCTAGCTCAGGGAGGGTGGCTCAAATCACCCCCAGCGGAGGTCCAACGGTGCCTAATTTTGGAAGTTTTTCGCTTATATATCCGCGGGGGAACATCGCAGGGACTTAATTCAACTTTCGCCTTGTAGAGCAGAAGAGCTTTCAAACAAGACTAGCCACTCTGGGATGCAATGCTCAAACTCGGCGCTAGAGGTGCCACAGCAAGGTTGCGCTGCGCGGGCACCTGGGAATCAGCGAGCGACTGGTTGGGCACACCTGGTCTACGCTCAAGCGAATGAGAGTCTGTGGCCGTTGGTGGTGTGCTGTGGTGGTCGGGGGCATGGCTTCACTTTGGCTGTGGGACTGGCCTGTTGGCCTGATGCAGCTTTTGCAATTGGGGGGGTGGTATTCAGGGGGTGCGCTGGACTCTTCCGGGTCTGTAGCATGGGGTTGGTGGAGTGCACGGTCTTTGGTGAACTGGACCGATCTTCTGCTGCTTCTTCCTTCTGCTCAGACTCCTGGCTTGGGGGTGGCCTGCAGTCGCGGTCGGGTGGGTGGAGTGGTGGGGTGCACTCTGTGGCAGTGCTGGGGTTGTTGGCGGGCTGTTCTTAGCCTGGAGCAGCTGGCCAGGTGTGTGTGCCAGACTGGCGTGGATACACAGACTATCCTGTGGACAGGCTGGCTGGAGTTGCCTGCATTGGCCAGGTGGCTTAGCTGACTCCGGAGTTTTGGCCTCATTCGCCACTGCGTTGAGAGGATGTCGGCCCAGCTGACTTGGAGATGCCTCTGGGGGTTGTGGCGTATGCTGGGGGTGGGGTTTGCATTCCTGTCTTGGATGTGGGGCACTGAAGTGTTTGGTTGGTTGGTGATGGCTGTCCCTGGGCTGACATTGCAGCGATGTGGATTTGTTTGTATGGTTGCAGGGCACGGTGGGAGTGAAGTGCACTGTGTGGTGGGGGGTGGGATATAGTGGGGAGTGTTTGGAGCCGGAGCTGTGTGGAGGGTACATGGAGTGGATTTGGGCTCCCTGAGGGGTTGGGACTGTTTCGTCTTGGAGCTGCTCGGGCTGGCTGGCTCATTTGGATCATGTGGGCTTCTCTGTTCCCCTCTCTGGATGGGGTTGGGGCAGGAGTCTGGGCTTGGGTTGTTTGGATGGTGCCCGGCCCTCGTCCAGACTGACGAGCAGCTCTGCTGCTGCTGAGGTTTAGCTGTCTCCTCCTACTCCTAATCCTAATCCATCTGAGTGGTGACAAAGGCACATATTACTGCCTCAGAACAGACTCCAGTATTCCCATGACTGGAATACTAATTAAAAACACATTTAAAACAATAAAATTAACTCTAAAATGAAAAAAATGTGATACTTTGTTTAAAACAGAAATTTTAAAAATGGGTCAAAAATCTAAAATTTGCAGGTAGAGACCATTTAGACAACAAAATGGACTATGTAAACAACACAGTTTTTAAAATGCATTGCAAAAACATTTACATAAAAAAGCATAAATATGAATGAAAAACTGAAAAACGTGCAGAAATATTAATTGCCTTAAAACTTGTTCTTCTCCAGTGTCCAGTATAAATTTAGTATTATATTTTGTAACAATCTATGCTGACAGAAATCTCCAACCTCTTGGTGTAGAAATTGTAGAAAAAGTTTGCTTCTTGTTTTGTTTTACCCAGATTCCTCTGGGCCAGTACACAGAGGACCACTTCACTGAGGACCAGGCCCTGGAGCTGATTGACGAGTTCAGAAAGAAGCTGAAGGAAATCGAGGAGGAGATCCTGAACCAGAACGCAGGACTGGACCTGCAGTACCTGTTCCTCCTGCCCAGCCGTGTAGAAAACAGCATCACTATTTAGAAAAGTTGACTCTTATCTTTTAGAACATCAGCAACATGCTGAGACTCTATAATTACATTCTTCTGACACTTTATTTTACTCTCTGGGGTGTACTTTTACCATTTTTAACAGTGAAAGAGCAAATGACATCAAGTAGGAGAAACAGTTTGTTTTGTTAAACTTTTGTTTGATTGTGTGTAGTCAGAATAATTTGCATTTCATGATTTAAAAATCTATTACAATATTTGTAACTAACTTTTATTTCTTCATAAGTGAGATTTTTCTGTAACTGCTGAGTCATGGAGAAGGAATATAATGCTTCTGTTAAACTGATCCTGACTTGCCGTCCCACTGTGACTCCTCACTGTTAGCAGGTTTTACAGCAAGTTGCAAACATTTTTACCATCTTTGTATTATTTCTGCCTTGTTGCCTTACATACTGAAATTTAAACAGATTTTTACTTTGATTAATGAGCTGGCACAAAATCCTTTCAATGAAAACCAGAGCATCACCACATTATTATTTCTTAAAGGAATGTGTGTAATCTGCCATCTTTAAGGCAAGATATTCAATCATCTTATAATGAGAAGTAATGAAGTTATACTTATACTGGTCAACCCTTGAAAATAACCTTATGATCTCATGTAATGGGGTTATGTCATCACTCAGATAATGTGTTGTGTTGCCAGCTACCACCACACCAAATATGATCATATTAAAGTGCCAGAGACATTTTGGTGTTGGCCTAAGTTGATCAGCTGTGGCGGTCATTTAGAATTCATTTATGCTTATTAATCAGCACCATTTTAGAAGAAATGTCTTCTCATGGCATGATAGAGAATAAAAGAACAAGTCCATATTTTAAATCCAGTAGATTTAAATGTTTTTTTCTTGTTTTGCACACAAAAACATCTTAAAAGTGGTAGTTATAATATTTACATTAGGTACAACAATCTCCAAACTCCTGTTATAGTTCATGTTGTGAGGCAACAAGATAAAGGGAGTGAATACTTTTGCAATCCAAACCCACCACTCAACCATAGCCATAAAACCACCACGTCAGGCCCCAGTCTGCTGTGAACTGGAACCAGAACCAGCATCATAGATGGGGTTTCAGATAAAACAGAAACTTATTGAAATATATATTTTTTACTATAGATAATGGTTCCTTCTATTCTTTTAAGCTTATATTACCAAATGTGTGTGAGACTTTAAATAAAAACAAACAGAAAACACCCTTCTCTACATGTTTTTTCCATCCATCCCTCTTCTACCACTTATGGGGCTGTAAGAGCAACAGTTCCAGGAGAGAAAAGCAGACCACCCTTCCCCCAGAGACACGCTCCATCTCCTCCTGAAGTCGCATGATGACGGAGCCATCAGGTAGCTGCAACCTGGAGATACCGAGGGAGTGACAGAGTAACACAAGACCACCCCTAAAAATGACCTCAGCAACCCTGAAAAAAACAACCTACCCACATAGCAGACAGGTGTGGGCCAGGTCTGGTGTCACGCTGGCATTGCTGACTGACTACTGGCATGGAAAGTGGTTTATCAACCAAATGTGGGCCTGGTCTGGCATTGATGGCACTGTTTTTAAGATGGCATAACTGGCCCAGTTTTGTTTTGGTTTATGCGGTGCTGGCCCATGGACTACCTCTGGCAAACTACTTTGGAGTCACCAAGGGGTCATCATTCTTTGCATGAATTCAATTGAATTTAATGTCTGAAACACGTTTAAAAAAGCTGGGACAGGGACAACAGAAACAGCTGTTTGGAGCATGACACAGGTAAACAGCTTAATTAGAAACAGGTGAGTGTCATGATTGGGTATAAAGGGAACATCTTCAAAAGGCTCTGTTGCTCACAAGCAAGGATGGGTTAGGTTCACCACTTTATGAACAACTGCATGAACAAAGTCCAACAGTTTAAGAACAACTTTTCTGAATGTACAAATGCAAAGAATTTAGTTTCATCATCTACAGTTAATATTATCAAAAGATGCAGAGAATCTGGACAAATCTCTGCAATTAAGTGACAAACGCAAAAACCCATCATTTAAAGTCTGTGACTCCTCAAATGACCCAGCGTGGCTAATCAGGAGGACCAGGACTATTCCCAGTGGACCGGTCTGATGTTTGGGCTGCAAGGTAACGGTAACATGTTAGCTATTGCAGCTGGATCACAGGTAACACTGCTCCTGTCTGTCTTTTTGTTCCTTTCTTTTTCTGGTGTTTTGCGCCCTGACGTAACACGTTAGTGCAGTAAGTAGTGTTTGAAAGATGAAAAGTAAAAGAAACAACAAGTGTGCATAGAGAAAGAGTTATAAAAGTAAAGCTCTGGAAACTGATGCGGCTAAATGTGCAAAAATTAGCAACTTTTTCAGTAAAAGGAGCTCGCAGTTTGAGGACAATGAGGCAACGTAAGGCAACATGTTGAACTTTGTCTGCAAACCACTGTTCAAGTTAATTATCAGGTCAATGAATAGCGTGGCGTTGTGGCAAACAACACAATGTTATATAATTTAAAATAATGCAACGCCACATAACTGGGAAACTGTCTTGTATCTTCTCAGAGACACAGTATTAACCTGTTCCAGCCATGAGCCCACAGGTCCAGAGTGTGCATGTAGGATCACTCATTGACTGAATATTAGAACTAATGCAATGAAGACTATGGTGTGGACCTGCTTTTCATGAAAAATACCCTGAGATACCAGATGATTCAGTGCGTTTATGAAACTGAGCTGAATTGATCAGACGGCTTTTTAAAAAGGGGAGATTGTTGCTGAGAATTATTGAAAAATGTGAGTGAGCTCTTGTAATGAAGTGTGTGAAAAAACAAGTATTAATTTCAATATAACCACTTTCTATGCTCAAACGATAGCACTGATGTGTTATATTTGTTATCATTAAAAGTAAAGCTCACAACTTAAAGGGACACAGAAGAAAGTAATATGAAACTAGAAGCACTCGAAGAGCGCTAACCTCCGCCAAGGCAATAGGGTCAATTATGCTTAAAGGTCCCCCTTGGAAAAGTCACGTTTCCAGTGCTTTATAGTAAATATAGTAACATCATGTTGCATGTATTTAGACATAATAGTAAATGATGGAAATCAAACTTTCAATGTATTCAAAGATATTTATCTGAAAACATATGCAGACATACGCGACTGCAAACATTACCTCGCCCTTTGCGGAGGTAATAAAATTGAATCAATGTCATAACACATAAGCAGACATATTCTGTGCACATACAGTTAAGGTATGATCTAGAACAATAATATGACATCACACATGCGACTTAAGTCGTAGAACAAAGGGGCACACCAATACTATAGTGCCACCTACTGGACACTTTGAAACCCAGTTGGGACATGAAAAAACAATAATGGGTGTTAAAAAAAAAAAGAGAGAAATAATGGTGTTAAAATTAAAAAATTCCTGCATTGTGATCTGGAACATCACCAAAATTTAATGGTGTGTTACTTGAGGCAGTACACACATGTGGTAAAAACGTGATGACAATCCGTCCACAAGTTTTTGAGTACTGTTGTCCACAGACAGAACGACAGAACGACAGACGGACAGACACGTACGCGACCGAAAACATTACCTTGCTCTTGGCGGAGGTAATAACAAACCTGCATATTTTGACATTAAAAATATAATAATTGGTTAAGTTCAAATGTGCTTTCCACATCAAATGTGCTAAAGATTTACAGATTTTTTTTTTTTTTTATTTATTGTGACACAGGTGCAGGCAAGTCTAGGAAATATTATTTCTGACCATACCATAATCAGATTTAATTTTTTTTGAAACTACTCTTATGCAGAGGGTAAAAAGATAACAGCATCATTAGAAATTTATTTTATACTGTGAAGAGTGCATTTTTAAAAATTCTTTATTCATAAGCATTTGATATCTGTGAACACTCATTTGCTTGAGATTTGTCCTCATGTTCTTATATTTGTGAAATCTAAGTTGTGATGGAACTGTTTCCTTGCAGTGGAAAATGAGATGGCAGTAATATTAGAAAATCCATCCATCATCTATACCCGCTTCTTCCTTTCATGGTCACAGTGTGAGGGGCGGGGTACACCCTGGACAGGTCTCCAATCCATCACAGGGCCACACAACGAGACAAACAAGACAAACAACCATTCACTCTCTCACTCACACCTAGGGACAATTTAGAGTTATCAATTAACCTAACAGTCATGTTTTTGGTCTGTGGGAGGAAGCAGGAGTACCCGGAGAGAACCCACGCATGCACGGAGAGAACATGTAAACTCTACCCAGAAAGGTTCCCGGGCTGGGATTTGACACGGTGACGTTTTTGCACAGAGGCATCAGCTCTACCAACTAAGCCACCATGGTGCCCTATTAGAAAGTCTAACACTTTTTAAAAATATTTAAAGAATATGATGTGTTTCTCAGCCATATATTTAAATACTATACCATTACAAAATATCTATGTCACCTTTAGTTGGTAATAAAATGCTGTTTTTATGCTTAAATATAAAATAAACTTTTCTTCTCATCACTTCCTCTTCTTAACGCCTTGAAAATGGCCTCTGTCTCTTTAAGAACCTCCTTCCACTTCTGTCCCGCCCATTTCATCGAGGGTCTATGATGCAGTTTCCTTGGCACCTGAAAGTACATTTTCTCAAAGGTATTTTGAATCTGAAAAGAGCTTCACTGAGTGAGAAGTAGTTAGGAGCTCAGCAGACAGTTTCACTTTCAGTTTCACCAGCTGTTTGCTTTGTTACTGCTGAGAGCCTGCAGGAGTGATGGGCGGGGTGTGTGGGGGGAGGAGGTGTGCTCCGTGATGAGTAAGCTCAGCTTGGAGACACAGCCCAGATGCGGAGATGGTCTCAAAAGGCATTTCTAGTCCCAACCAGTCATTTATTTGCTCCTCAGCATGGCTGCCTCAGGACACTACAGGATTTCTCAAACATGCATGAAGGAGTCAAAGCAAGGCTTTGGGCATGTTTTTTATGAGAGTATAACATTATAACATGATATAAACTCAAAAAAGTTGATTTTACATGATATAGCACCTTTAATACTTTTATTTATTCTTTTATTTAATTTTTAATGTTTGAATAAAAATACCCTGAATTACAAGGCTTTAGAAAACTGTAAACTATAGGTTATAATTGCATAGTTTTAACATTATGTCTTGATCTAAAGTGGGCCAGTCTGAGACATGAAACTCCAGGTCTGAAAATGAGTCCCACTCTGGCCCTGCCCCTCAGCATTAAAACCCACATCATTCTGTAACAGATAAACACATGGGCACAGGAAGACCTCAGAAAACCATCGTCAGTGAACACAGTTCATCTCTACAGCTACAAGTTAAAGCTCTATCACACAAATACAAAACCAGATATAAACAACACCCAGGAGCACCGCCAGCTTCTCTGGACTCAATCATCAGAGATGGACTGACACAACGTGGAAAAGTGTCCTGTKGTCTGAAGAGTCCACMTTTCTAATTGTTGTTGGAAATTATGGATGTGGTGTCCTCTGGGACAAAGAGGAAAAGGACTGTCTGGATTGTTATCAACACAAAGTTCAGAAGCCAGCCTCTCTGATGGT